AGAATTTGAATATGATCTGTCATTAAACGAAAATTTGGGTTGATTTGAATTTGATCTTCAATAGTTATTTTGATATTGACTATTTCGACTATGTGATCAACTATACATGTTTTGTGAGAAATTTTGTGATTTTTTGGTATGGTGATCGTCCTCTATAATTTGTAAAATAGGGTGATTGCTGTCTAGAGAAGTTGGAGTTATTTGGAAGGAGTTTTCCTGAACTATTATTACTATGAAAGTTTTTGTTGGGTAAATTTTGATCTTTTTTCATGTATTGTTGAAAGGATTTGTTGGGTCCTCTATATTGTGGTTTATTTTGGTTATCTTGTTGTTATTGTCTAAATTCAGCGATACTGTGTCCGTATCGTCGACAATAATTACACCATTTTTTGAATGATGGTTTGCCTTTAAAATTTGGGTTTTTCTCGTAAATGTTCAAAATTTCGGTGATTTTTTCGGATAAATCAGTATCAGAGTCGTTGTTATTGTTTATGTGTGAAGTAGTGGTTTGGATGTTGTTTACATATTGTAGTTTTAAGTTTTCTGTTTCTTCTAATTTCATAGTGATTTCTGCTTGTTCTAGTTTATCTATTAGTTTCCTAAAATCTAAATCTGGTTCTCGGTTTGAGGAAGGATGCGATGCTCTCTTTTCATTGCTATTTTTCGTAATTGAGGTGTTAGAGCCATCATTAGGATTTCTGTCATCTTTAAATTTTTATAATCATGCCTATTAGGTGAATATGTTTTTCGGACTAGTGTTTCTATTCTTACTGCAAGTTGTTTTATTGTTTCATTAAGTAGTCTACGAATTTCATTGCATAAAACTCTTCGATGTTGTTTGTTTCTTTCTGAGTCAAACGTTTTAAGAATTTTTGTGTGAATCTTTTCCAATCTGATTTTATTTCTATAGGTACAACTGAAACCCATTTTTGAGCTGCGCCGTCAAGGGTAGTTTGGATTAGAGCTGTGCGTCTATGTATCCAATTTTGATGAAGTGGCGTTTTTACTGGTTCAGGTCCTATATTTGAAATTGAATTTGCTGTGACTGCGTTTAGATAATATTCTACAGAGTATTCAGGATCTGTGCCTGTGAATACCATTAGTGGTTTATTTGATGTTATTGATGATCCACCTATTAGGTATGGATTCATAGTCATTTGTAGGGATTCTGCGGCGTGTGGCATTTGAGAAAAGTTTGTTAGTTGGCTTTTTGTTATTTCGAGTTGTTGTAAACAATATGGTAGTGGGATTTCATTATACATCTGAGTTGGTTGATATGAATGTGTATTAACTGGATTTTGTTGTTGAAAATTATTGTTGTAAGGTGATGGATTTGTTCTGGGTTGTCCTATTGGTTCATATCGTGTGTATGGTTCGAAAATATCTGGTTGATCAACACTGTAAGAACGAGGTCTTTGGTTTGAAGAAAATCGTTGATGATTTTGATTATAGTATTCATTATAGTTTTCGTAATTGAGGTGTTAGAGCCATCATTAGGATTTCTGTCATCTTTGAATTTTTATAATCATGCGTATTAGGTGAATATGTTTTTCGGACTAGTGTTTCTATTCTTACTGCAATCTGATAGGTGGATAGGTGGATCGGTGGATACCTAGTAGGTAGATCATCAATAACATCAAATAAACCACTAATGGTATTCACAGGCACAGATCCTGAATACTCTGTAGAAGATTATCTAAACGCAGTCACAGCAAATTCAATTTTAAATATAGGACCTGAACCAGTAAACACGCCACTTCATCAAAAAATTATTTTGTGCGTAATGATGAGGTTGGTTTTTAGTATGGTATTTATTTGTATTGTTTTTACGTTGTTGAAAAAATGGGTAGTTTCCATTTTGTTCTTGTGAGGATCGTGGTTGATCATGAAAATTTACCGAGTATAAAATTGGTTATGGTACATTTTGACTTTGTGCAAATATTTGAGTGTTTGTTTTAGTCTTTGTCGTTTTTGGGCCATTGACATAATTGTAATTTTGTTCTGCAAAAGTATTTTTGTGTTGTTTGTATGATGGTTTTGTTACTGGTCGAAACGTTTGGTAATCCATCTGTGAATGTTTTTGTGCATCAGAGGGTTTACTGTGGATTGTATGATTGTTTGTTGTAACGTTGGATTTTTTTAACTTTAGAGTTCTAAAATTTGGTTGAATAGGTATGTGAAATGCCTCGTTGTGCTTCTGTTGTTGTTATTGTTTCAACATTTTCTTCGTTTACAAAATGTGATGGGGTTTGTATATCTTGTTGTGTAAGATTTCTTGTTCCGTTTAGATTATCATTATTTATGGATGTGGAGTTTAAACTGTTATTTCCTGTTCTTTCAGGAAAAAATGAATTGTAGTTTAAAGGTGTTGCGTCAACTGTAAGTGGATATACTCTAACATAATCTTTATTAATAGAAATAGTGCTAATTGCCTGACTTGATATATCTGTTGGTATATTGATAAATAACTCATAAGACCATTCAGGGTCCCATACATAGCCTGATTGTTCTGCTAGTACAGTTGCATCATCTGTACTTTGTGGTCGAAAATTTTTTCTTGCTTGTTCAATAAGATCAAAATTGTGACTAAAGTAATCGATTATGAACCATGCTAAGATTTTTTGTAACTCGTGTTTAACATTTTGAGTTATTTGATCATTTGTCAGATTTTCTCGAATTGCGTTTAAAAATTTTGAAATTGTGTGTATTTCTTGTCGTATAATTGTATGTCGAGATGTTTGAGTAGGTGAATCCCTTTGGAGTTCATCCAACTCTAATATAGATAAATAGCTATAGATAAGTGAGAATACGTTGTTTGTAATTATCGAGTTTGCTCTTTGTGAGTTTTGGTGTTGTATGTTTTTGATGTATTGTGTAAAAAGTTTTGAGAATTCAATATCTACATCGTCAGTTTGAATGAGATATCTGTCATGAAATGCATTTGCTGATCTGATTTCTATTGTGTATATTCCAAAGTGTGATGTGAGACTACATATACCTTTGATATAGTGATCGAGAAATTGTCTTTTGATTTTTACATCGGGAAATTCTTTTGTGCACGGACTTTCTCCTTTTTAGAATAAGTTTGCAATTAAAATTTTACAAAATTCTATTTGTCCGCGAGGTTCAGTTAATGGTGATATTAAAATTGGTAGTACTGAATTTTCTGAGTTATCTTCATTTCGAATCATTTTTGTGTTGTATTACTGTTAATGTGTATTTTTCAATATGTCTTATTGGTTGATTCCAATTGGTAGGGGTTGTGATTTGTGATCAAGTGTTGGAGAATAGTAAATCGATCCATAAGGTTCAGGTATAATTAGAACGCAAGTACTTCGTTAGATACTGTTTCATGACTTACGAAGTTTAAGTGTTTTAGCCTGGGTCATCTAAGAGGAATGTGATCAAGTGAAGGATGAGTAACCGAAGTTCTTCACTGTTTAGCTTAATTAAAATGATTAGTTTTTCGAAAAATTTCTGTTAATTCTGGATCTTTGATAAGGTTTGGGTAGTGAATCGACGTTTGAGGTCGTTAGACACTGAGTAAATGTGGAGGGGGAGAACAAAATAGTTCTATTTGATCCACGGATAGGCCTTGATGATCAGAGATTTAAATATTGAGAAATTTAAAATTTAAGATCTAATTTAATTTAAAGATCCAAGGGAAGCCTTGATGATCTGTTATTTAAATGAAATTAATTTAAGTGAAAGTAAGGATAAGCCTTGATAGTTTAAAATTAGAGCGTTAAGGTTAGGTGTTAGTTTTAATGATTGTTAATTTTTGAATTTCGCTGTTATGTTTTTAGTGATGAAGCTGGGATGATGTGATGAATTAAAATGCTAATCATTTATGATTTATACTGACTTATTTTTGTATTTTTATGTTTAATAAATGTTTTTTTTTCAAGATGTCATTTAATTTACAGCTGATTTAAGGAAAACGACTAGTGTTGTTTTTATCAGTCGTTATTGTACAATTAATAGAGTAGCACCATGAAAGGTTATTTGAAAGTATTTTTCATTTCAAATATTATGTCAGTAAATGAAAACTTAAATTTACTGCTGGTAGTATCCTAAATACAATAGTTTGATGTCGTTTTTGTCGTACTATCATGAAATCAATTGGTAGATTTCTTCCTAGTCGTATGTCGTTTCTTGTTCGACGTCTCCTTCCCATACCGGGTAGTTCTCGTATTGTTCGGAATATTGGATCTGATCTATTGAGGCGTAGAGACATATCTACAAAGTTTTTGTCATATAACATTTTTATGAAATGTTGTATTTGTCTAATTCTAATCTAATTTTTGTCTAGTGCTAGGTTAGTTAAGGTATGTTCGAGACTTTTGGTCGCACCAGATGAGTTATGTACTTGTACTGTACTCATATAGTAATTTCAGATAAGGTACACCGTCTGCTCGTCACGCTATCTTATTTTCGGCCGGATAGATTCGTGCAACTTCTTAGTCTAATACCAATCTTAATCTTACTCTTAAATCTCCTAGTCTCAATAGATCTAGTGTACACCGGTTTGCGCGAGTGTGTTCCAGAATGAGAACAACTGTATTCTAGGTTTAATTCAAATTGTTCTGGTGTTGAAACTACAAGTAGTTTCAACAATTGACAAATAAATAGGTTGTTAGTTTTATGGAGTATGATTGGTTAGTATTTAATATTTTATAAAGTTAATATATCATAATAATAACCAATGATAAATACTAGTTTAGATCTGTTTCCAAGTATTTGGGGTAAAAAAAGGCCAACAAAAATTTGCTTACTTCTGAAAATCCCCTTCCGCCGAGAAAATGCTAGATCCACCCCATGGTTGTTTCAATTACACAAACTAGAACAGCCAGTACCGTGGCGAGGAAGGACTCCTATTTGTCTGGTTCTCGAACGCACTGTTTTGTGTAAACATGCGTTAAATTATACCATTCCATTGACTTTTTCATTTAAGTGCTAGTTAAAATTTGGTTCTTTTCAAACTGTGCAGTTTTTTTCAGGTGTGCATGTCTCAAATACTCCGGCCACGCCCCTCTACCCGGATCAGTTCACGCAGAACTTCACAGAGATAGTGTACGAGGCAGAGGGCTCCTACTTGACCACTGGCACCTACATCTACGACTGGACCAACTTGAAGTACAGCATCGAGAGGGAGAACGGACGACATGACATATTCTGCCAGGCAGAGTACCCAAACACAGACACTCCTTGCTCCCACATTATAGTGGGCGGAAACAGGTTACAGCACTGTCGATCTTCATTTTTGGGCGCACACCCATAAACCCATTTATTATCATACAGCTTAGTATCATATTGTTGTTTAGGAGAGCTCAAAAAGTTTTTAAAACCTGTCAAATAAAGAGCGACTTCACCTTTAGAAAATGGTTAACTCTCCGTCCTAAATTATTGCGCACGTCGCTGTATTAGGAATGGAAAAAGCTCCGTCAATATCTTTTAGATTCCTCTCCTATCCGGACATGAATGACTGCTGCTACTGCTGTGACTCATCTGAGGGGTGTGGACTGCTGAAACCTGATTGGCTGAGTGATGCCACATTCCAGGGCACCTTCTTTGTCCACCTCAACAATGGGTCATACGCTAACACTTACAAGTGGAAGAAGGACGGAAACGAAGTAGGAAAGCAATTTTAAGACTGGCACTTTTCGTGTTCCCCTTTGACTTTTGATGGAATACTTTTGGAGACCTTAGTTTGCCATAAACTTCTGAATCTCAGACCAACTTAGCAGGCAAAAATATCATAGAAAAATTGCTTTGGCTCGGCGCACGCTCCGCCTTCAAAATTAGTATACACAGGGGCCAAAGTCGCTTTTATTTAAAAAAAAAACTTTTAAGGTTAGATGGTCAAGAATGGATCATAGTAGTTTCTTCGATTCAGAGAAAAAGCTATTGAAGGATAGTCCAGATATTGAAGGATAGTCTAGAACTTTTACGTGGTACCACTATTGCAGCCGAAATTAATAAGGCTGGCGTATATCTGAAGCTAGAGGTCAAGTGAGAACTCAAGGCCTCTGATATTATAAAATAGTACCAGAAAGCGGCCAAGGTTCAAATCTCTAAACAGTGGTGGCGTCCGCCTCCGCCGTCGTCTATCTCTCCCTCACTCCACCCCTGAATCATAATAAAATAAATCAGCGTGAACAGATTTGAACAACTTTTTGTTACACGCAAAGTTTTTGTTGTGATTTTACGAGCGGAGTGGGAACCTGGAAGAGTCCTGAACAATTTGAAAAAAGTAGATTGAGTAGATGCAATTAACTTTGATTAACATGAAAACGGGTTCGTCAAAAATGATGTTCCCGTTGTTCTGCTTAGAAGTGGTTTCAAAACAAAAGATAACGAAAAACACCTCTGAGATCTTCTAACGTTCCCCTAGCTGAAACAGCTGAAAAAAAAACTGATATAAAAACTGCAGGCGGTAGAGGAGTGGTTGAGAAGGCAACATTTGCTTCAAAAATTTTTTTACTTTTAGGCGAACTTCTACTACGAGACGATGGAGTCCAGTCCTTTAAACAGAACTATGGTGGAGATCTTCCAGAGCCCCTCGGAAGCCGCCTTGTACGACATCCCCAGACTACTCACAGTCGACTCAGAGAAACTCTCTCTTCCCCCAATCTGCTCAATGAACAAGACCTGCTCTGGGGTCTGTGCTTTGGTTCGAAGTAACGCAACACCACTGCCTCTTCCTTTCTAAGTCACATATTTAAAGTGATTGAACTTCGAAGTCTTGTATTTAGTTATATTTAGGCTTGCTTAATGATGACCGCAATTCACTTATTAAAAATCTCGATTGATAAAAAACTTGATGAAATTGACAAATGCACACAGATTTTATTTTCAACACAGAGGCGAAGCTGCACTTTGCAAACACAACCAAGAAAAGGACAAAAAAGCTCTATAAGGTTCAAAAATAGAAAAAATGAAAAAAGAGGTGAAACTAATAAAAATTCTGCCATGTACCGGAATCTAATCCTTGACTTTGAGATTGAAAAGTCACACTTGCTAGCATCTGCTCCATGGCTCTATATATCTTTATGTAATGTTATATTTGATGTAGATTAAAGATTAAAGCTTGAATTTTTTTCCAACAAATTTGGGAAATTTTTATGTTTACATAAAAACCAATCATAATTGATTAAACAAGGTTTTGAACTTTTCAATTTGAAAAAAAGTGGAGAAGCAGAGAGTTTTGCTGTGGAATTTTGAGAGATTAAAACTTTTTATGTAGGTGAAAACTCAAACAAATTTGATAAAATACTTTGAGTTGCATTTTTTTGAGATTGAAGAAAATATTTTGTTATTTGCAATTCAGTCGTACACATAAGGTTTTGACTGGAAGCAGTTGGTTCAGAAGAAAACTCTATGATTGAGTAAGTTTTTCTAGATAGAGTTTTACTTAGTCGTGAACTCTGTTTTGGATAACACACACGTCCATTGATTTAGATTTTAATCTGAACTATTTGAAATGACTTTAAGTCCTGTAAAAGAGTATAATTGAGTAAGTTCTCGAAGTGCGTACTCTTTTGGGTAGTAAGGTGAAAGATTGTTTCGATGTTGAACGATTTCTTTTTTGTTCAAGTCTGTAAGTTTGTATGTTACATCCGTGGGTTTATCAATTATTTGATACCGTCCTTTTCGGAGTGGTTGTAATTTTTTAGAAATTCCTTTTTGTGTTGTAAAGTTTGGAATTAAAATATATGTTCCGATTTTTAAATTTGTAGCTGGGGTAAATCGAGAATTTATTTGGGAATTTAGGTTTTGTCTCTTTAACCGTTTTTTTGTTACTTTTTGGTAAATTTCGCTGTGTTTTTTGTCTCTGTTTAAAATCCATTCAGGGTGTGTTCCGGAAGCTAATTTTTAGATTTGTGCATGATGAAAATGATCTTCATCATGAGTGTGTAGTGGTAAACTGTAACATATTGATTCTTTAGTTGATTGGCAATAACCTTGTGCATTTTTTGAAGTATTTGCTGTGAACATTATTGGTTTTCGTAGTTTCTGGTTGAAAACCATTTCATAGGGTGATAGTCCTAGGGTTGTTGTGATTTGTGAATTATACGATAGTGGGAATAATTTTACATCTGTTGACTATTCAGTATATCGTGTGTCATTTCCGTTAATGATACATCTAAGATATTCTTGTAGTGAACGGTTCATGCCTTCGACTAAACCATTAGTCCAGGGTGCATGAGATGTACGTGGTTTGTGTTTAATGTTATATAAGTGGCATAGTGTAATGATTTCTTTGTTTATAAATTCAGTGCCATTGTCTGTAACAAGGATTTCGGGTAAACCAAATTTTGCTATCCAGTGTTCATAAAGTAATGTATATGCATAATGAGCATCACCATGAGGTACTGGGTTAAGTGCTACGTAGTGTGTGAATGCGTCTACTATTACCATTATATATGAGTTTCCTTCTGAGGATGGTGATAATGGTCCTTTTGTATCGAAAGAGATTCTGTGATTGAAATATAAACTTTGGGCCCTTTAAAATCTTGTTTTTCTGCAATTTGTTTTTGATTTGGGTATGGTTTGTTTATTTGACATGTTATGCAATCATTGCATAATACTTTTATCCAAATGGGTGCACTTGGGAAATAAACATTTTGTGTAAAATTTGAATATGTTTTTTCTGCTCCTGAGTGTCCTTTAGTGTGTAAGGAGTGATAGGTATGAAAAGCTGTAAGCATCATACTTAATGGTAAGCAGGGTACTTTGATATCAGGTGTTTGGTATACTAGGATATCCGTGATTTCATTGATTGATGTGTCGTTAAATTTTCTGAAATATCTAAGAAGGGTTTTATTTCCTAGTATGGTTGTATCGGCTTTCTGTGGCTTGGTTTTATATTTGTGCCAAGATTTTAACTGTCTAATGACTGGGTCAAGGTTTTGATGTTTTTGTAATAGTTCGAAAGTAATTTTTTCTGTTATTGGTAGAAAAATGTTTTCAATTTCCAATTTTGATAAGGGTATTGTATCTAGTGGGTCATGAAGGTTAAAAACATGGTTGATTGTATATTTTGAATCAGTATTTGTTGGGCCTGATAAATTTACATTATCAGTGAGATTTTTTTTTCTATTGAAGACAATAGATCTTTTTTTTAATGTTTTTGTTTGTATTGTTTCTTACTGTGTGGTTTTTGCTGTGTATTGTTTTTTATCCATGAAGAGTATGGTATTGGTTTGAATGTAGATGTTCCTAGTATTTCTACTTCGTAGTGATTGTCTTGGCAATCTGAATAAAGTGGAAAATGTTGTAGATTGTTTATTTGTGGTTGTTCTACGTCAGTTTTTACTGCATATTTGCATTATAATCTTGGCGATGTTTCGTCTTTTGCAAAGAAAAATTTAATATTTTGTGGTATTTCAACTGTTGTTTTTCGTGTTAATAATTCAGGTGGTGTATTTCTACTGAGATTGTCGGGTAGTGCAAGGTTTTTTCCTGCTGTCCAAACTATTTGTAAGTTTGGAAATTTCATTAAAATAAGTTGAAATCTGTAAACTCTATGGTTTGGGTTTGATTTTTGTGTAAGGAAAAAAATTATTGGTTTATGGTCTGTAAAAATAACTGTTGGATGTTTAGATCCAAGTATTCAAAATTCATATTCTGTAAATGTAAATATTATAGCGCTGCATTCTCTCATAAGGGTAGAGAGTCTAAGTTCAGCTTGTGTAAATAGCCTAGAGTTTGCTGAAATGAGGTTCATTTTATTTGTTCCATTGTGAAATTGTAATAATGCTGCGCCGATGCCAAAATTGGAGGCGTCGCACATAGCATAAAATGGTTGATCTGGAATTGAAATAGTGTTTGATAATTGTTTGGCGAGAAGAGTTTTTATCTCTGCGAATCGCTTTTGATGTTCTGTTGTCCATTCAAAACTATTTTGCTGTCTAAGGATGTTGTAAAATGGTCTTAAGTATAGCTGCATTTTGTATACGTATTTACTTAAGAAGTTTAACATTCCAAAAAATTCTTGTATTTTCTTCTTATTTGAAGGTGGTTGGAGTTTTTGGATTGCGTCTATACGAGATTTTAATGGAGTTATAGTGTTTCTTTCTATAATATGTCCAAGAAATTTTACTCGTGTTAGGAAAAAGTGTGATTTATCTGGGGCTGCTTTCATGTTTTCTTGTAGTAATATTTGGTGATATTTTTCTAAGACAGTAAACATTTCGTCTTTGGTTTGTGATTGCATAAAAAAATCGTCTAAATATGTAATTGCATTTTTGTTGAGTATTAATGGTCTGAAAATTTTACTCACAAATGCTGAAAAAGCTGCTGGTCCTCTGGAAATTCCATAGAATAATCTGTTGAATTCGTATTGTTGATTTCCAGTAACGAATTGTGTTAATCGTCGTCATTGTTTATCTAGTGGCATTTGATTATATGCCCTATTCATATCTGCTGCTGTAAAGTATTTACCGTTTATTTTTGTGAGAATTACTTGAATTGGTTCAATAGAATGAATTGGGACTTTAATTACTCGTTGTTTTTTGAAAACTGCGTCACGTTTTAGATGTAAATGTAAAAGTGAATTTATTTTTCCTACATCAAGTTTTCGTGTTGCGTAAACTTTTGGGTATTTTAATAATAGGTCAGCTATTTGTTCGAATTCTTTTTGTGTTATCTGAGAGTGTTGAAAATTAAACATTGTTAGAAATTTTTGCGGTTCTTTCGTATATTTTGATATTTGAAGAGTTGGTTTGAAATATTATTAATTGACAAATCTTCATCAAGAATTGTTGATTGACATATATCTAATAGTTGTAAAATATTATTTACTCTATACGCTATTTCTTTTGTGGGAGAAATTGTAGCGTTCGTTTGGCAATAACCTAAGAGTCTTAGTGGTAAGGTTATTTTACATGGAGAATTGTTATATATGTGTAGAGAAATCATATCAGAGTTTGAGTCTTTCATGTATTTAATAGATGAAATTGTTATTCGGAAAAATTTGTGAATTGGTCTGAATTCAAGGTCAGACATAAAGAGGTGTTGTTTGTTTTGCTCTTTATCATATTGATGAATTTGTTTCATCGAAAAGTTATACATGTTTCCTGATAGTGGTTTCAGGTGTTTTCGTTCCTGATTATATATGGGATGAAATTTTGAGAAAAACGGTGGTTGTTTGTTTACTCTTTGAAAAAATGTGAAGGAGGTGTTTTTTACTCTTGTGTACTTGTCTTTTATATGAAACTATTTAAGTTATTTATTGTTAGTATACATTTAGTAATAAATGGTATTCCAATGATATTGTGTTTTATATCAGTGATATGGAAGATTTGTTTAAATGGTTTGCTCATGAGTTTGTTTTGTTCCATTGTTTGAGTGGTAACAAGGAAGAGTTGTATTTTACCTGGTTTGTTAAAGTTGATCCTTGTGCCGTTGATAGTCTACTTGTTGTTTTGAAGGGTATCAATTGTGGATGTAGAATTTTGATCTTATTCCAAGTGGGAATGTTTATAATACTTGATTCTGCTCCAGAATCGATTAAGAAATCTACTTCAAGGTCTGGTTTTTGCAATTGCTTTGATTTTGGACTTTCTAAAAGAAGTTGGATTGCCCATATTTTTTCTTTTTGTAAATGTGTTTCCTTAGGTATGTTTTGATAAATTTATTTGTGTTTGAGCATTCTGTGGATTCTCCTTCTGTTACTTCTTCTACTTTTTTTTTGAATTTTTTCCTTTGTTGTATTTTTGGGTATAGGTCTAGAAATTGATCATGATTTTGATATATGTGAGAATATATTGGTTGTTCATAAATAATAGGCTCATAGTCATTTTCAACGTTTATCATGTTAATTGAAATTGTGTTTTCTGTA